CTGGGCCCTCCTGTGGCCGTCTTCGGGGGCCTCTTGGGCTGTCCCAGGGCAATCTTGGAGGCCTCTTGGGCGCTCGTGGGGCGATCTTGATGGCCTCTTGAGCCGTCTTGGGCCTTCGGAAAGCCAAAAAGGAAGAACCCCCCGAATCCTTCAAAAACCTACAGGAAATCAGTGGTTTAGGCCTCTTCGGGCGTTCCTGGAGGTCCACTTGGAGGCCTCTTGGGCCGTCTTGGAAGCCTCTTGGGGGCTGCTTAGGCCGTCTTGGGACATCGTGAAGCAATCCCTCCCTCCACCTCCCTCCGCCTCATCCTCCGCCTACTCCTCCACCTCCCCTTCCACCAACCAGATCGCATCGGGAGCGCCCCCGGATCGGCGGCACTGGCCGGAGGCCACTACAATATCCCAGCATGCGCGCGAGACGACGCGCGCGGGCGCACTTCATCAAATTCGTGTGCAAGGGTTCCTTGAAAAATATGTGAATGTTGATGAACGCGTGCGCGCGCAAAAGAAAGGCGCAGAGGATGAAAAGGGGGTCGAAAAGCGACTGCCGGGGAAAAACAGAACCAAAAGGTGAAGTATGAATTCGGTGGTGGGGGAAATCCTAGTCTCTTGCAGAAAGGAGAATTACTTCTTACGCGAAGTGGGTTGTCAACTCCACTGCTCGCGCAATCATCCCACCCACCTGCCCGCAGCTTGGTTTGGAAAACCCACGCGGCGACGATTGCAATGACTGCTTCGCGCTGGCTGGTGCATCGCTGCGGCCGCGCTAGCGCGCGCAGGCTCGTGCGCAGAGCGGCCAGCTGCTCTGGCGCGACAGACACGGCCGCGGCGGCGCTGACCGCGAGGGACTTCCCAGTGCGTCTCGCAGGCCAGATGGTATTATCTGACCAGGATCGCGCCCCCGCCCCGCCCCCCAGCACGCGGGCAAAAGAGTTTGAATGATTTCGTCATGCGAGCGCGAGAGGCCCGCATGATCGCATTTGATGAACATGTTGACAAAAGCACGGTGTTCGCAAGAACTCGCAAAATCGAGCGCACATACTTGTTTGAAAAACCGTGTTGGAAACCCAATGGTCGTTTACATTACGTCGGGGAGCTCGATCTTAAAACACCCACGAAATAATAAGGTTTTGAAGAATGCGGGCGTGCGCGCGCGACTAAGCACGCGTGTGGACTTTGCCAACGTTTTTTGTGCGAAAGAGCTCTTCTTGGAAACCGATCGCTTGTGATAAACGAGGGCGCGCGCACAGTATCATTTGACAGGGATGAAGGGGGGGCGGGGCAATGAGGGCCCCCCTTGGGATAATACGGATTAGAGGAACGATGGGGCAAAATCACGTGCAGATTGCACGATCCCAAGGGGGAGCGATAAACCCTGGGGAGGGGAGATCCTAATTCATGTTTGTCAGGAAAATCTACGCGGTTCAATCTATGTTGTGCAATCTGGGGCGGCGACAAAAGCGGCGACGGGGCGGCGACGGCGACCACGGAGCCGCCAGAGCGGCACCCAGGACCAGACGACGGGCGGCGACGAGACGGCGACGGGGCGGCGACGGCGAGCACGGAGCCGCCAGACCGACACTCAGGCCCAGTTCCGTCGAACACAAGCAGGAGCCCCCCGAGTGCAAACACGGTTTGGAAAATATAACGATCGATATACCGATCGCACGATCTGTCTATCTACCCAACGTTCCCACGATCTAGACGTCTAGATATCCACCCAAGCCATTACCCATCTACCGACAGAATTGTCTATACATATCGATCTCACTATCAATGTATCTATCGATCTCGCCATCGACCAATCGTTATACAATATGGACTACCATCGGGATAACCATCGGGTCGATCATCGCGTCGACCATCAGGACAACCATCGGCACAACCATCGAAACAACCATCGGGACAACTATCACGACAAGAATCGGGACAACCATCGGGACAACCACCAGGACAACCATCGGGACAACCATCTGGACAACTACGGAACAAGCATCGGGACAACCATCGGGACAACAATCGGGACAACCGTTGGGACAACCATCGGGTCGACCATCGGGTCAGCCATCAGGACAACCATCGATACGACCACAGGGCAACTACGGGACAGTCATCGAGACAACCACGGAACAATCATCGGGACAAACTCTATCTGTCGATCTATTTGCCGACCTCTCGATCCATGCATCTCACTATATGTCGAGCGATCCCACTACCTATACATGTGCATATCTGTATATATATATATATGTATATACATGTATATGTATATATATATATATATATATATATATGTATGTATGTATATATATGCATAGATATCAAGATTCCCAAGACAGCGTTTGCACCTAGAGGTTCTTGCTTCACTTCTGCGGAACTGGGCCCACATGCAATTCTAGCAGCCCCGTTCCCGACCGCCGCCGCCCCGTTTTTTTCGAAGTACAAAGCCCATCTGCGGGCCCGGCGGCCCCGTCCCCGTCCTTCGCCGCACCATACAGCTTGCACCAAATAGATTGCACCACGTAGATGTTACGGCACAGGGTGCACCGCGTAGCTTGCACCACATAGCATACACCACACAGATTGCACCACCTAGCTTGCACAACAGAGCTTACACCACATAGCTCGCACCACGCGGATTGCATGACATAGCACATAGCTTGCTCCACAGAGTGTGCACCACATAGCTTGGACCACACAGCTTGCACCACGCAGATTGCACCACGTAGATTGCACCACATAGCTTGCACCAAATAGCTTGCACCGCATAGCTTGCACGACATAGCTTACACCGCATGATTGCACCACAAAGCTTACACATCCGAAGTGTTATAAGTCACTGTTCGAGGTCCACGCTGGCTAAGAGAGATCTATATATATATATGTACTCATATATGCGCAACAGCATGACCGTACATGTACCTCGACTGATATCTACATAAATTACACAAACAGATATCGATATCACTGTTCATGTGTCGATCTAACTGTCTATACATCGGTGTCACGATCTACCTCGCTCTATATATATATGGGGTGTATCGATGTATACCTATATAGATCTGTCGGCATCACTCTCTACCTACTGATATCACGATCAACCACTCAATCAATCATCGGGGCAACCATCGGGACAACCATCGGGACAACTATCTGGATAACCGTCGGGACAACCATCGGGACAACCATCGGGACAACAATCGGGACAACGATCGAGACAACCATCGGGACAACCACTGGGAACTATCTGGACAACGATCGGTGCAACCATTGGGAAAACTACGGGACAGCCACCGGGAAAACCACGCAACCATCGGGAGAACCTTGGGGACCACGGGACAACCACGGCACAACCGGGGGACAACAGCAAGACAACCGCGGGCAAAAACCGCTAACAAGACGGGAGGAGTCTTTTGCTCTGAGTTCGCCCTGGCGGCGACGGGATCACTCCTCTCGCCCGCGCACGCATCGCCTCGCCCGCACGCACGGCATTAAGACGAAACCGAAACCGATGTTCAAGTAGGGGGTCTCCGTTTCGCTTCGATCCCGAGATCCCGAAATAAAGGGGAAGCAAGAGAGAGAAAGGGAGAGAGAGAGAGAGAAAGATATATATAAAAAAAAAAAAAAAAAAAAAAAAAAAAAAAAAAAAAAAAAAAAAAAAAAAAAAAAAAAAAAAAAAAAGCACAGTGAAAACACGCACACACACACACATACACACGCACTTACAAACACACTTACAAACACACACATATATATATATATATATATATATATAAATATACACACACGCACACACACACATACATACATGCACACACCCACGCACGCACAATAGCAAGCCAAAAACAAAAACAACAAACACAGAGGGAGATGGAGCGACGCATCGGAAAGGGAACTGAGCGACGCATACGTAAGCAGATAGACACAAAGACACTGAGACATAGAAACAGACAGACGAGGCTGAGAGTAGAGACAGATATGGAATGATACACAAAGAAATCCGCCGACCCTGTCGGCGTGCGTGGAATGTCTGTCTGGTCCCGTCGACGGAGAGCCTTCTTTCGTCCCCTCCTTCCCACCCTCCTCTCCCGTCGGTGGAGAAAGGGAGAGAGAGAGAGAGAGAGCACCCTTCCTCGTTCGGGGAACGGGTTCGCAGCTTGAAGAAATTCCATACACGTCCTCATTACGTCAAAGGGAAACCACTTCCCCTTGTCCCTTCCCCGGCTGGGGGGGGTCCCGGGGAGGAGAGGAGGGGGGGGGGTCAGATTCGCATCGCCTCTGGAGTCCTCCTCTCCCACGCCGATCCTTCTCCGGCGCGCCGGTCCTCCTCGGGTCCTCCTCCCCAGGTTGAGGAGTCCCTGGGGGAGCGGGGGGAGTCAGATACGCATCCGTCCCTGCCCTCCCCTCCCCTCTCTCACGCCGGTCCTCCTCCGGTCCTCCTCCCCAGGGGGGGGGGCCAAGGGGGGAGTCCTTTTCCTCCTCCTTCTCCTCCTCTTCCTCCTCCTCGTCATCATCATCATCATCATCATCATCATCATCATCATCATCATCATCATCATCATCATCATCATCATCATCATCATCATCATCATCATCATCATCATCATCATCATCATCATCATCATCATCATCATCATCATCATCATCATCATCATCATCATCATCATCTCCGCCTCATCCTCCTCCTTCTCCTCCTCCTCCCCCTCCTGGTCGTCGTCGATGTCTTTCAGGGTCGGCGGCACCGGCCGTCAGGCCTTCACAATATATGAGCAGAGAGACAGAGATATGGATTTGAGAGGCAGAGGATCAAAGAGACAGGGAGACAGGGAGACAGAAAGATAGGAAGACAGGCGCAGGTTCAGACAAGGGCCGACCAGAGAGACAGGCACAGGAATGGAGACGGAGACAGCGGCGAGTACAGAAGCGGGCAGGGGTGGACGTGTGGACGTGTCGATTTTCTTCACTTGCGTCCCTGGCGGCCCAACAGAGCAAGCGAGCGCCTTTCCGTGCGACGACCTCATGTTCCCCTCCATAACCTGCGGCGGGCCGGGGGGCGCGGCGAGCAAGATCCGGCGGCAGAGGCGGCGCAGGAGGCGCACACTCGCAGGAGCAACACGGGGGCGCTGGCGGAGATGCCCGCCAATCTCCACTGCACTCGGACCTGGGACAGACGAACATCCTTCAAGAACATGAGGCCCTCCGCCGGCCCAGACTAAAGACCGTTCGAGGGTGCCCTCCCCCAGGATGCACAAGAACATCCAACAAGCACGAAGAACATCAGGGTACCCTCCCAAACCGACCTCGATTTTATACCTCCATCCGTCCGTACGCTGGGGATGCTCTGGTCTGCGATATTTGGAGAAATTCACCAGCTCCGACCAGGCTCGGGGCCTGGGAAGGGGCCCCAGACCATCCCGCTCCCCGCGCTATCTATCCCCCTCCGGCTTCCAACGCTTATCCCGCACACTTTTTGGCGTCGGCGGCTAGGCAGCGGGTGACTGCGCTGGCGATGACAGGCTTAAGCGGGGATGCTGTTAGAGCGAATTTCGCCACCATGCAAGAGGAGGAGGGCTTATCCCGCACACGCACATGTTTTGGCGTCGCAGCCACGCGCGCAGCAGCGCGGCGAAGTCAGGCGAATGGCCGAGGAGGACAGAGCGCGGCAGGGCCGAACGCGGAGGCGGCACGGTGTGCCAGGCTCACCCTCTGGAACCGCGCGGCACGGCTCGCGGGGAGGCAGACGCGAGGGCGCGACGAAGAGGGGTCGACAAGGAGGAAGAGAAGCGCGAGAGGGGAGGGAGAAGCAATGCGGGGGGGGAACCGGAGGGAGGGCAGCAGCGGTAGCGCTGAGGCGCACCACGTGGGCAGCGGCTGGCAAACAGAGGGGGTGGCCAAGTAGGGGACACTGGCGATGATCCCCGCGCGCACACACAAACCTTTCGGCGTCAAGGGCCCCGCGCGCAGCGTCGAGGCGTTGAAAGTCGGAGGGCGGAGAACGCGCGCGCGGCCCGCCCACTCAGGAGCCAGGAGCAGGGACCGACCGCTGGGGATCAAGCGTGCAATGCGCACACCTGGGTATGGACTGAAGGCGGGAGAGACGAAGAGGCGGGACAGTGCCAACAGGCCTGTGGCGAGGCGCGGTGACAGTGCAGGCATGACCTGAGGGGGAGAGCGACAAGGCAGGACAGAACAGGCGACGCAGGAGCAGCAAAGAAGAGATGAATGGCAACCGAAGGAGGCGAGTGGAACGCCAGCGACGGGCGAAGCGGGAGGCGGCGAGGCGACACCGGCCTGGAAACCTAGGCCTGCGGGCACAGGGGCGGCGGGTGCACACACACACACACATACATATATCTATATATATATATATATATATATATATATATATATGTATGTGTGTCTTTATATATATATATACACAAGACTGCATTGGCGCTTCGCGCCATGCACCTTGTTCTTTGTAGTTTCGAATGCAGGCGGCGTGCGTGCGCGTAGACATGGGGCGGGCCACCGCCAAATCGGAATGGGTGAGGAGCTCCTGAGCGGGAGCGACCGGGCAACACCAGCTGAGGCCATCTCAGGGCGTTTCGGGGCCCAGAGGCGCGAATATGTCTCAGGCGAGTGGTTGGGCTAGCATGAAGCAGGGCTTTCTCCTCCTCTTTCTCCTACTCCTCCTCCTCCTCCTCCTCCTCCTCCTCCTCCTCCTCCTCCTCCTCCTCCTCCTCCTCCTCCTCCTCCTCCTATCCTCCTCCTCCTCATCCTCCTCCCCTCCTCCTCCTCCTCCTCCTCCTCCTCTTTCTCCTCCTCACCTCATCCTCTTTCTCCTCTCTCCCCTTCTTCCTCTAATTCCGCCTCCTTCTCCTCCTCCTCCTCCTCCTCCTCCTCCTCCTTCCTCCTCCTCCTCCTCCTCCTCTCCTCCCCCTCCCCTCCTTCTCCTCCTTTTCCTCACCTCCTTCCTCCTCCTCCTCCTCCTCCTCCTCCTCCTCCTCCTCCTCCTCCTCCTCCTCCCCTCCTCCTCCTCCTCCCTCCTCCTCCTCCTCCTCCTCCCTCCTCCTCCTCCTCCTCCTCCTCCTCCTCCTCCTCCTCCTCCTCCTCCTCCTCCTCCTCCTCCTCCGTCCTCCTCCTCCTCCTCCTCCTCCTCCTCCTCCTCCTCCTCCTCCTCCTCCTCCTCCTCCTCCTCCTCCTCCTCCTCCTCCTCCTCTCCTCCTCCTCCTCCTCCTCCTCCTCCTCCTCTCCTCCTCCTCCTCCTCACTCCTCCTCCTCCTCCTCTTCCTCCTCCTCCTCCGTCTCCTCCTCCCTCCTCCTCCTCCTCCTCCTCCTCCCTCCCCTCCCTCCCTCCCTCCCTCCCTCCCCCCTCCCGCCCCGCCCGCCCGCCCCCCCGCCGCCCGCCCGCCCGCCCGCCGGCCCTCCCCTCCCTCCTCCCTCCCTCCCTCCCTCCCTCCCTCCTCCCTCCCTCCCTCCCTCCCCTCCCTCCTCCTCCTCCTCCTCTCCTCCTCCTCCTCCTCCTCTCCTTCCTCCTCCTCCTCCTCCTCCTCCTCCTCCTCCTCCTCCTCCTCCTCCTCCTCCTCCTACACCTCCTCCTCCTCCTCCAACTCCTACAGAACACGCTATTCTCGGCATGCGCGCTGCTGGGTTGCCGATTTCGAGCCCCGAAGAGGCCCAAGGAAGGCTGGCCCAAGAAGGCCCATAGAATTGAAAATAAATGAAAACTCATTGGAAAATCAATGGTGTTGGCCTTCTTGCCTTTTCGCTTACGATCGGCTCTTGAGGCGTCAAGATAGCCGATAGCCCCAGGACGGCTCCAAATGAGTCCCCAGACGAGCCCCAAAGAGGCCCAAGGCTGGCTCAACAGGGCACGGAGTCGGCAATTGGAAAAAAACCATTGGGAAAGCAATGTGTTCGGCCTTATCGCTTTTCTTTTCCTGTTGGCTCGAGAGGCGTCAAGATGACCGCAGGATGGCCCCAGAGAGGCGTAAGCCGAGGCCACAGAGGCCCAAGGCTGGCCGAAGAGTGCCCAAAAAATGTAATATCCGTGATAACCCATTGGAAAATCAATGTTGTTGGTCTTCTCGCCTTGTCGCTTCCATTTGGCTCTTCAGGCATCAAGATAAGCCAAGGACGGCTCCACATGAGTCCCCAGACGAGCCCCAGAGAGGGCACAGACTGGCCCTAGAGGGAGGGCCCAGAGGTTCGAAAATAGTGATAACAATGAAGAACAAACAAACAAACAAACAAACAAACAAACAAACAAACAAACAAACAAACCAAAATATTGGAAAAAAACAATGCTTTCGGTCTTCTCGCCTGCTCGCTTCCGCTCAGCTCGGGAGGCGCCAAGATAGCCCCAGGACGGCTCCAGAGAGGCGCAAGCCGAGGCCCACAGAAGCCCAAGGCTGGCCGAAGAAGGCCCATAGAATTGAAATTCCATGAAAACCATTGGAAAATCAATGTGTTGGGCCGTCTCGCCTTTTCGCTTACGATCGGCTCTTGAGGCGTCAAGATAGCCCCAGGACGGCTCCAAATGAGTCCCCAGACGAGCCCCAAAGAGGCGCAAGGCTGGCCGAAGAATGCCCATAGAATTGAAAATCAATGACCATTGGGAAAACAATGTTTTTGGTCGTCTCGCCTTTTCGCGTACGATCGGCTCTTGAGGCGTCGAGATAGCCCCAGGACGGCTCCAAATAAGTCCCCAGACGAGCCCCAAAGAGGCCTAAGGCTGGCCTAAGAGGGCCCGGAGAGTCGAAGATCAGAAAAAACCCAAGGCACAGGACAGGCCCGAGGATTCGAAATTCGTTTTGGGGGGGGGGTCAGGGGGGGGCGCTCTTACCGGGGTCCCCGGCCCTGTAAAAACATATGAATAGGAATGTGTATATATATATATATATATATATATGTGTGTGTAAATGTGTATATATATATATCTATATATATTCGCGGTCGCGGCCTCGCGCGCAACGACGAGGCAAAGTAGGTCAAGCACGGCGGCCGAAACCTAAGCCAGTGCGCGCGCGGGCCAGCTCAGCGGGGGGGCAGCACATAACCGTCTAGGCGCGGATGGCGAGGAGAAGGGAGAGCACTGATCGCCAACCAAGGGTAGTCCCACCTGAGGTCACAGCGCAGACGAGAGGACGCAGCACATAGCCATCCAGGCGTGGATGGCGGGGAGAAAGGGAGAACGCGCTGGCCGACACCCAGGGGAACGTCCCACCTGGGGGGCAGCGCCGACGAGGAAACGAGGAGTGCAGGCCGACCATGTCGTCAGGCGGTGGCCACAGATGAGACGACACACTCTCACACACACACACACATATGGACAGAGCTGATTCAAACATACAAGTTTCCGCGCCAAGACATCTCGGCCGCGACTCTGGCGAGGACGGTCCCCCCGCGCATCCCCAAGAAGGCTGCGGCCAGGGCGGGCGGTCACGGCGGACGGCGCAAGAGGGGCCAAGGGTGGCCCCTGATCCGTCACTCGGCACGCTGCTGCCTCGCGCCGCGCATTCATTTTGTTGAACGGGGAGCCTCCTCCTCCTCCTCCTCCTCCTCCTCCTCCTCCTCCTCCTCCTCCTCCTCCTCCTCCACCTCCTCCTCGTCCTCCTCCTCCTCCTCTTCCTCGTCCTTCCTCGTCCTCGTCCTCGTCCTCGTCCTCGTCCTCCCCCTCCCCCTCCTCCTCCTCCTCCTCCTCCTCCTCTCCTCCTCCTCCTCCTCCTCCTCCTCCTCCTCCTCCTCCTCCATCCCTCCCCCTTCCCTCCCCCTTTCCTCCCTCCCTCGCTGGTCGCGGGTATGTCGCTCCCACCAGCATCCAATAGGCCCTGAGCGACAGTCCCGCGAATCCACGACCACGACCTGTGCATGCTGGGGCTGGCTACTCCAGATTTCGTAATAAAGGGAGGGGGGTCTCATTTCGGGAGGGTCTCTTCCAGGCTATCTTGGAGGGCCTGGGGGGTCTGGGGACGGTATTTGGGAGGGTTCTCACACGGGGGAGGTCTGAAATGGCCTGTCTTGGAGGGTCCAGACCCCCTCCCTTTTATTACGA